CCAAAATTGGGGGACATGTGTTTACACCAAAATTTGAGAAGAAGAACGCGAGAACTCGAAGCTTCCAGGATTGTATCATCAAGGAATCGATTAGATGTGAATCGATATCAGCTGATTTAGATGCGATGTTACACTCGGTTATTTTATAGATGATGTCAGCAGACTGTGTCAATGGGCCATGGCGCCAGGAGGATGTGTCAGACTCTACAAATAAGGAAAATTAGGGTTCAAGTTATTATTAAGTTAGAAAGTTTTCTTTTATTTCAAGAATTGTAATGAGTCGTATTTGAGTAGGATTCATATTTAGGTTTCGGGTATAAATATTAGATCATGGTTATTGTACAGGAAGACGAACACTCAATCAATACAATCTTTTTGTCTTTCGCCATCGCATTAGGAGTAGGAGTATTGTAGATCTCGACGAGTTCTTCAGCAAATATGGTTGTATTGACTGATCGACCTTCAACTTGCTTGTGAGTATCGTCACGACTTGTATTATGCTTATAAAGCTGCATCAACTGATTGATCTTTTTATAAGCTATAATATAAGTTAGTTATCGATCCATATCATTATTTGTAAGGCTGCATCAGCTGATTGATCTCTTACGAATCATAATATAGATCAAAGTTATCGATCTTGTATTAAATAACTTGTTGTTTAATATAATATCACCAGTTATCAAATCTGTTAAGATTAGTAAGATTTTCCTTGTTGTTTTTTGGTTGATTCACCTGTTATCGATCTTGTTATAATTAATATTTTATTAATTATAACAAAATCACCCGATTGAGATAGAGATAGATCGGCATCATACCATCTTAATTGGTCGTCCTTTGATCTGGTCATGCTTTAAATCTTATAATTGATGGCTTAATTCCGCTAGATCGGCTGTTTTATCTCCATTCCAATCAGACATAGTATGCGTCCAAAGACATGTTTCAATCTTGAATAAACTTACTAGTTAATAAGATTTAATCTAATGACACTACCATAGCTGCATCGATCCGGTCGAACCTCACTGGTAAGACTTTAGATTAGAAATTATCGATTAATGGTCTTGTTCATAATCAATATATGTACTCTATTTGTTTGCTATGACTGCATATAGCATATTTTCATAAATCTATCAATATATAGATGTTTTTATAGATTCTTTGGCTTTAGTTTGTTATCATTATCATAGCTACATCGATCCGATCGAACCTCACTGCTGATGATAATAGATTAGATTCAAACTTTTTATAGATTCATTTATATTAGACAATCGATTTGTTCGTATGTTATACTCTTTTCATCAAACTTATCGTCCCGATGCTTTATATCCATCATGTTTCATTTAGCCAATGATGCTTTCTTATATCGCTTCTTTGCTGATTATCAATTCTCTAATCGATCGATGGCATCAATCGATCATTTGGTCATATATGTTGGAATTTTAAGAAAAGATCTTCTGATTTTGTATTTGGTTGTATTGTACTTGTTTTTGTCTAGATTAATCAATCATCATAAATTTGCTATGATCCATGAGCATCGGTTATTTTATTTCATATATTATCATTTAATATTAGCCGATAATCCTTGATTTAAATATCTTCATTTCATGGATACGCCGGATATCGACTATTTAGTCGATAGCCTTATTGAATCGGCTATCTAGCCGTACATTTAGAACTGTCTGGTGCAACATCGACATGTTTCACCTTAAATTACTGATAAGATTTTCTCTCCTTGTCAATTGCAGGTCAAATTGACTGGACTGTCGTTGGGTTTTCAGAATCGGCTGGTTCTGTGTTGAAGCCAAACAGATCTCTGGTCTCGTTCCACTCAGATCCTCTGGCTTGCTGTGTGTTGATCACATCGCTACATTTTTATGTCAACACCTGCCCAACTAGAGCTCGCTAGGGCCTGCTGCGCCCGCCGCCGGCCCCTTCTTCCTGCCTCCCGGTCAGAGCTCATCGGTGGCCTCCTGCACCTGCGGTCAGCCACTTCCTCATGGACCCCGCCCGGCCAGAGCCCACCGGTAGCATGTGCCCATCGCTGGCATGTCCTGCCTCCCCTTCCGCCCACATGTGATGGATGCGTGCCCATAGTGTACCTGGCCAAACCTCGCATTTCTCAACGGCACTGCACTAGCCACTGCCTAAGGATCCCCCGCTGCTGCGCTTCGGAAGGGGCATAGCGCTACCAGCCACAGAGTTTAGCACCATCACGGCAGAAAGAGGAGCCCAGCAAGATTGGAAACTATAAAAGGCTTGATGCGAGGCTCTGAGGCGAGGCGTCGTCCATGTTCTTTTTTGGTGGAGGGGTATTCTAGTCTTTTCGCATGGTATAAGTAATGAGATAAAACTACTAAAATAGAAAGTGAGAGAAATTCCGAGAAATTCCTCGTATGAAAATAATTCGTATGTTCATAGTTAAATTTTTAAAGATCTACGAATTGGATGTCAAACGTAGAGGGTGTCCGAATTGAGGGTTAAATATAAAAAATTTCTCCTGAAAATCACATGGTGAATCTGAGTCGCTTCTCTTCTTCCCGTATCCCCTTCCCTCTGTCTCTCCCTCACTTTCTTGGCGACGACTACGACCGGTGCTCTTATTCGGGCCCTGGTCTCTGGCGCTGCCGTTCTATGTCAGGTGCCAAAGTCTTCTTCGGGCCCTTCACCGGCGACGAGCACCACCAGGTACGCCCACCCTTTGGTCTTCCCTTCCTGCTGTGCAAAACCGAGCACTCAGACCCTAACTTACTATCTGTATTCGGATCTGACCTAATTACAAGTTTATATTCATGTATTATGTCTACTAACTTCGATTGTTTTGCAAATACTATCGGGTGTTCATGTTCACACCGATGCCCTTTACTGGATCCGCCCCTGCTTGGCTGCTTGGATGTGCAATTGGTAAGTATACCTGACTGTACAGTGTACAGAGATGGATGAATCATGAATTACAAACTGACAGTCATTTCTCATGTGCGGCCTAGTGTCTTTTTGGAAACTATATATTGTTTTTTTTTTGTTCTATACACAACAAAGACATTGGCCTGCTTCCCTAAGGATGTATATATGCACTTTTTAGACCAAAGGCCTTGGCCCTGCTTATATTGAAAGCAAATACGGTAACTGCTGGGAATACCAGCTTACAGAGTTTAGCACCATCAGAAAAGAGTATTCAGAAAGATAAACGACATTGGCCAACAACAAGAAACCAAACAAAGCTACTAAACAAGAATTGGAAACTATAAAGGTAGCTTGATGCTTCATGTCCACCCAAAACGCTCTAACTTGATCATCATGGTATCCAACACCTCTATTTTGTCAACCAAAATTCAGAAAAAACTCCTGATTCTCTTGCAGCCTTCATCTTCATTCCCAGCTTTAGGATCCTCCTTCAGAAGATCAGGCTCACCACGCTCAGTCCCTCCTGCAGCTTGATGATCGTGTCTTCCACCTTCAACACCTCTTTTGGCTTCATTAGGCCTGCTTCCCTAAGGATGTATATATGCACTTATGCAAGCAAATTAGGATGAATTGTTAGTGTTTGAGACTTCAAATGTATTTGGAAGTGAAAGCGCCTTATGTGCCTCAAATAGGGAATTCTCAAATAGGCCTGACCTTCACCTGGTGCTGCAGAATGCTCGGTTCTGCACTATAGATGATTACTAGGTTGTACTGTAGTGGTTTTGATTATATTTTTATGTTATTTTGGCATTTGTAGTATATTGATCATTAATTCAGTTTCATTCATTGCGTTAGGAGGTAATTCAACAGAAGGTCATGCTAGCGTGAATACAAGTTGGTAGCCATAACTCATAAACATGTGCCTAGTCTTAGTGCATAGGAGGGCCAGCAGGTGTTGAGTTGTTGACAGAGCTAGTCTTGGTGTGTGACTGATCTAGCATTTTATCCTGGCCATTTGTATTTATTTTGTTGTCATCCCATTCAAAGGCTAATTTGCTAATGTCATGTCAAATTCAGAATGTTTTTGATATCATATATAGGGCATCTATTTTGTAATTGCATTTTCTGGTTGCCATTTCAAATAGAATAAAAAGCAGAAAAAAAAAGAAACACAAATAACACGATTGCAGTGATGTGCTTTATGAGTGCTTGTGATGTTTAGTCAATTAGTTGGTATTTCTGTTTTATTGAATCAGTCAATCAGGGCTGACTAGGGGCTCTTGGTAGGTTTTAACTCTAGCCTACTCCAACTTGCTTGGGACTGACATGCTTTGTTGTTGTTGTAGTCAATCAGGGCTGACACTGGACAGACCAGCTAAACCCAGTACAGAATTATTGCTTTTCTCTTGTATAAAGGGCATACCCAGTGCAGAGAGCTCCCGCTCTGTGCGGGATCTGGGGAAGGGTGTCAGCGGCAAGCCTTACCCTCGCCTGTGCAATGCGAGGAGACCGCGACTCGAACCCGGGACCTTCCGGTCATAGGCGGTAAGACTCTACAGCTTGCACCAGGCCCGCCCTTCTGCTTTTCTCTTGTATAAATATCAATATTTCTGGTCTAAGTGTTAAGTGATTTCATCCATTGTACACCATGTATATTTGATTGCTAAGTATATGAAATCAAGATCCAATATATGCAAACTAATTATCCTAACTGGAACATGAGTTCATAAATTTTATCAAAAACATGGGTCGTGGGTTGTGATTTGCATCAATTGAACCTTAAAAAATTCTTATGCTTTTTATAGCAATAATTACAGATGAAGGTTCTTCATTGAAGAATGAGAAGATCAATCAGCTTTTCCAAAGTTAACCCCGGTTAAGATAATGTCTTCTATTGTTTTGCCTGCTTGTAGAATACCAATATATCCGCATGGAAACAATAACCATTATATATTATAATGATTATATGATCTAGCTTCATTGTAGCAGCGGTCTTAACATCTAGCTTCATTGCTGAATGCAGATAGCAATTGCTACATATGTTTAGTCCATGTAATAATTTCTTCCATACTTTTCAGTGATTCCTGGACAGTTTGTTGAAGATGGCAACTGCAAAGAAGTTGTTTAAGATGGGAAATGCAGATACAGATACTGCTGCACTGCACAAGGAGTGGGATGATGCTCTCTGTCCGATATGCATGGACCATCCGCACAATGCTGTCCTTCTGTTGTGCAGCTCCCATGACAAAGGATGCCGATCCTATATATGCGATACAAGCTATAGGCATTCAAATTGCCTAGACAGGTTCAAGAAAATGAAAGTGAATGATGGGGACAGTCCTTCACAGTCAAGCTCGTCCACGCCTAGGGGTACAAGAAACCAAAATGTTGTCCAGAGATCTCGTTTTGGTCTCACTAGAGAGAGCCCCAGGCTACACATGGACATATCTGAACCTGATGAAGCTTCCAATCATCAAGATGCCAGCCATAGACCTGCTGCCATAGCTGGAGAACAGGAAGAGAACAACTACAATGAAGGCCCAGATTTGACATTGGAAGCTCACGAGGTTGAGATCAATGGTCCTTCAGAGTCAAGTGACGTTTCAGAGTCAAGTGACGTGTCAAGCTTAAACCAATTGTTGTGCCCACTGTGCAGGGGGGGCGTTAGTGGCTGGAAGATCATCAAAGAAGCTAGACAGTATTTGGATGAGAAATCCAGAGCTTGCTCACGAGAAGCCTGCACGTTTTCTGGTAACTACAGGGAGATCCGTAGACATGCCAGAAGGGTGCACCCCACAACAAGGCCTGCTGATGTTGATCCATCAAGACGCCGTGCATGGCACCACCTGGAGCATCAGCGGGAGTATGCTGACATAGTAAGCGCAATCAGGTCCGCTATGCCTGGGGCAGTTGTGCTTGGTGATTATGCTATTGAAGGTGGTGAAATGTTTTCACATGACCAGGAAACCAGTGGCCCAAGTGAACCAAGTGGGTCTCTTCTGACAACATTCTTTCTATTTCATATGCTCAGCAGTAGTCCGATTAGATCAGGTGATGAGCCAAGAGGCGCATCAAGGGGCCTGAGAAGGCAGAGGAGACGCTATCTGTGGGGAGAGAATTTGTTAGGTCTCCAATATGATGATGATGATGATAATGATGATGATGATGATGAGGGGGAGGAGGACGAAGGGGATGCTGTGGATGAAGAAGTTCAGAGACCAAGGAGTCGCCGGAGGTTCATAAGATCAAGATCAGAGGAGCGGGTGTAATACACTGGTAGCTGTGGTAATTACATTCTTCACTGCTGTGAAGTTCTTTTACCATGAACTCATGATGACTCCTTGCATGATCTTTGCATGCCAGTGGAGATGTGGATGATGTGCTTCCTTGCGTGGTTAAAATACTGTGTGCATCCCTTGGAATCAAAGACCTAAAGGCGAATGGACCTCAAGTTCAAGTTTAGATGATTCGAATGCGCTCGACACCATCCATGGGTCCCTCTTTAATCTGACGCTCATGAGAAACACTCATTGTTAGCTAGTGTTTGGAGATGCTCGCTCCATCACAGCTGTCGCTGTCACTGATGCACCATGTCTTTTTTACCTTTTGCACTGCGTATCATCTGCATCTGTTGTATATTCTTTCCATATTGCATTTCACTGAGTCCATGTTGCTACTGTTCTGGTTGATATCCTTGTTCAGCTGAAGCAGTTATGTGCGCGTGTTGTTGTAATTCAATGGTTGCCATCATTGGCTTGTCAATCCAAACCTTGGGAAAGTTTGATGGGCAAGGATATCCATTACTGATCGCTTGGTGAGACTGTTTCTGAAACTTGGTGCTTGTTTAACTCATTTTATTTTAAGATAAGCTGCAAACAGGGTTCACAAATCACAACGCGTCAACTTAAATAGCAAGTGAACAATATCTGGCTAAACTTAATTTGACCTATTGGACGAGCTGAGTCGTATTCACACTTTTGTATGTAATTTGAAAGATAACCATAGCAAACGCTCGGGTTCTCTCACTTTGCCCAGTTGGTCTTTAGGGAGGGGAATCGAAATGTCCTATAATTTGGAATGGAGGGAGCCCTAGTTGGTCTTATAGTTTGGAGCGGAGAGAATACTTGAGATCAGTTTGCCACCAATGAAGTACTTCCTCTGTTAAAAAAATGTAAATCTTGTTATTTGATAAATCAATCAATTTACTGTTTAACTGGATTTACAAATGTAGGTCTGTATTTATATCTTCAAATAGATTTATTGTAAAAATGTATTTCATAATTAATTTAGTTATACTTATTACATATCGTAAATATTAATATATTTTATTTGATCAAAATTTAGATTGATTTACATCTTGCAAAGCAAGATTTATATTTTTTTGGACAAAGAAAGCAGTAAAAAAATCCTTTGGATTTGTGGTGCCAATCAAAGGGGATTTCATAGCCTTTATAAAGTTCAAGCCGTCGCTGATATATTATTACGAACATTTGAATTTGGGTGTACAGTTAATTAAACATGTGCATCTTTTCCTCTACCTCAACTTTTTTTTGGCACTACTAGCGTCCGGACGGACACCGACGTCTGTTGCTCCCAGGAAACTGCACCTCCACTTCGCGCCTCTGTCCGCCCGCACCCCCTTCGCTTTTCGCCCACGCCCCCTCCGCTTGCCGCACCCGCATCCGTTGTCGAGTAGCGCTCCATCCCTCCGCTCCCACACGCGCATGCACGACGCCCAAGCAACTGCAGCAAGCGGTTGTGACAGGTGAGTCACTTTGCAACATGTGCAACATCCTAATCTACTTTTGAAACATCCAGATGAAACACTTGCAACATTCGTACGAAAACAGCTGAAACACTTGCAAAAACACATGAAAACTCTTGAAAACCATTGCAAACATATGCAATATCCAGATAAAATAGTTACAACATACGTGTGAAACATATACAACATCCAGATGAAACACTTACAATAAATGTCTAAAAAATAGAAGAAATATTTAGAACATACACTTGAAATAGACGTGTATATCCATTGAAACATGTGCAACATCAAGATGAAATACTTGCAACATCCAGATGAATCATCTGAAACACTTAAAACGTAAGCTTACAACATGCGCTGCACATGTCACCTTGCTGCTTGGACGAGGTACCCGAGCAGCGTGGGCATGCCGACAAAGGAGAGCGCCGCAACGGCCAGGAGCTTCCACACGCCGAGGTCGAGGTCCCTGCCAGGGAGGTCCGTGTTGATGAGCGCCCCGAGGTCGTCATTTGTCGTCCCCCGTGCCGCCAAAACTTCCGACTCATCAACCACGCCGGTGTCGATGAGGTTATGCAGGAGGAGTGGGCACGGCGTGGCGGTAGATGTGGTGCGGAGAGGGATGGGGGCGCTGGGTGGAGTGGGGTGGGCGCTCGATGCGTTGAAGCTGTGACGAGCGAAGCGAGTGGGGATTTCCGTCGGTGGGGGTTATGTCGCAGGTATAGATGAAGGAGAGAGCATAAAGGGAAGTAGGCTGATTGTTGTTGGGCCTGATTCGCTGCGTAGGCCTAGGAACGGGGCGCATCCGAATGCACAAGACGCCCTAATCGTAGCATTAACATTTTTTTTATCTCTTCTCTATGTATATCTAATATTAAAGGGCAAAGTTTTTCTTTTAACCCCTAGCTTTATTTCAAATTGAGGTTAGTTTCATCCGTCACAGTTCGCGCATAGGGCTTTTTTCTGGTCCGTTCGCACACGGTCTGTCCGAGAAGGGTGTTTTTGTCTTGTCACTTTGACAAAAAAAAACCTAGAGTGAAAGTAGTCTAGTTTCTTCATAACTTCTTTGGGGCTTTTACGTCTGTGCCATTATAAAAGTTTGTAATTACTCACAAGCCATTAAAAAGTTAGAGCGGCCATAGGTGCCACTGGTCCGAACTCTTTTGCCCTCCACGCCATTCCATCTGCATTCTGTTTAGTTTTCACGGTCTGGGAGTCCTGGCACGTGGACCCAGCCAGTAAAATTGTCTAAAATGCCCATGTGTCCTAACCCTATCCTCTCTCGCTCACACACACACGGACAGAGGTGCCGCGCCCGCGCCAGCTCTCTCTCAGCCACTATCGCGGCCTCTGATCTCGGCTCCGCCACGGAGGTGCTCAACTCCTGGCTCCATCTGCCAGATGGCATCTAGGACGCCCTCCCACACTCCTCGATGGACTTGCGGCTCCGTCTAGGACACCCTCTCGCACTCCTTGATGGTCATCGCGAAGTCCCGGTACATGCGCCACTCTTGGCCGGTGGCGAGTTGCGCCGCATTGGCGCAGCCTAGCCCCAACCTCACGACTGCCGGGACCACCTTGACGATGTGCATCCCGAAGCAAGCCATCTCCATGGACTCCGACACGATGGTCATCCTAGCGTCCCTCCTCTGCGCCCTTATCTGCGTGACTGCGTGGTTGGCCTTGCGCTTGTCGCCCGGTGCGCCTTCCGCAGAGGAGGAGGAGCCTCTGTGTCAGTGGCGGCCGCCGGTGGCAACAGCTCTGGCAGCAGGTCGTCCGCCCAACCGCCCAGGGGACTGTAGAAAGGCGGCCATCGAGGCACTGCCCACCGTCTTCGTCTCCATCTCTTCCCTGAAAGGAAGGAGAACAGATGGCGACAAGGAGGAGTGCGCCATCTTCCCAGCGGCGTTCGCGGAGGGAGACCAGCTGCGTGTGCTGCCACGCTGCGCCCACGGCTTCCACTTGACCTGCAGGACGCCAAGGTAGCACCAGAGCCTGCTACTGCTGTGGGCTTACTTCCACCTTGAGCGATCGATGGAGCGAGCTTGTCATCCAAATCGATCCACTGATGGAAAATATGGCCAAGGGGTCGAGAAGCAACGATGATCGACGTCTTGGATCCGATCCGATACATGCAACATAATTATGTCATTAATTCATTGGATACAAGCAAGCACGTTGCCCAGGGAGCTCATTGCGCCCGCCATGCGCTAGTAGCCTAGTAGAGCACTGCCACCATCGTTCTCTTGGATTTTTTTCTTTTAGTTCTTGCTTGGTTGCTGCTGACCGTCGTGTCTGTGCCTTTTCTCTTGTTGTGACTGCAACGTGCAGGTGCGGAGGGGCGTCAACCTAGTCTGCGGCAGCGGCAGCAGCGGCCTCATGGGCGTGATTGCTCAGCTCGGACGGTTCATGGTGGCGGCTTGGGTACCTTGCCGCACGCTTGCAGTTTCACCTTCTTTTTTTTCACACCCCTTTTGAATACTCTTTTCTGATGTTGGAGTATTATTATATGACTATGAATTTCTAGGCTAAGTTATTTACTTAGTTTGTGTTTATTAAATTATTTCATGGTGACATGCAAACAACTATGTGATGATGAGTGGCACAGGAGGCAAATGCAACTTCATTTAACTTCTCTAGCCTGAGGGCATTTCCATCTTTACGCGGCTCCATTTGACACCGTTAGCAACAATAGTCGACGGAATGGCGTGGAGGACAAAAGAGTTCCGACCAGTGGCACTTATGACCGCTTAAATTTTTTAATGGCTTGTGAGTAATTATAAACTTTTATAATGGCACACAGGAAAAACCCTCAACTTCTTTTGGTTGTTTATGATGAGGATGCAAGTCGAGAAGAAGGGCATGACAATGGTACGGGTGATGCTGGGCGGAGTCCCTCGACATCGGCCAACAGCCTGACGAGCACCCTCTTGCCGTCCTCGCATTGGATCCTTAGCATCACGACGTTGCCGTCCGAGATCCTCGCCTTGATCTCTGGCAGTGTGTTCCTGGTGGTCGCAGCAGCCCAGCTGGCGTGCAGGAGAGGAAGGTGTGCCGCCGCCGTCCTCGTCATCCCCGGTGCCGCTATGCACCGCTTGCGACGGGCATCAGACCGACAGTCAGTGCACGGTTGGGAGATGGCGGCGGCAACGACCTTGGGGCAGGTCCGAGCCGTTGGAGAGCTGATCTGGCGGGAGACGATACGGAGCGGCTCGCCGGCGATGAGGAAGGCCGACCTGGTTAAGGGCTCCGAGCGACTGAGGTGGGGGTGGAGCGGAGAGGGGGGGGGGGCGAGAGGGGAAAGGATGAGAGGAGAGCGCGCATGGACACCAATGGCGGCGGCGGTGGCCACATGTTTTGGGTGCTCGGCGTCACGACCTGGGGAAGGGCTCCCATCTGTTTTTTTTCATTTTTTTCGGTGCTAGCAGGTTTCGATCGCGGGTGGGTTTGCGGTGGACACCAATGCCAGCGCGTTTGAAGCCTGCATCAAACAATCAAGGGGGAATT